CAGGACGCTAATAGGCCAGAGGATGTAAAGGAAGAGCTCCAGGAAGAGCCGCAGACAAGGAAACCGAAAGACGAAGAGGAAGAGAAAGACCAGGTTAAAATTCGTCTAGTTTCCGCAGAAGAAATTGATAAGGATCGAAGAGAGAAACTCGAATGGGCCATAGTTAAAGCTCATTCGGATAAAAAGAGTAAAGGAAGCTTGAATGAGACGCAAAAGCAGTTACTAGCGAATCTCAAGCAGGATTATGAGACTGTATTCGATCAAGAGAAATTGGGGCGTAAGGTAGAGGAACTAGGGACCTCCCACAGAATAGCTCTCAAAGAAGGAAGCATCCCACCCGTGAGACCACCATATCGGTTAGGGGTAAAGGAACAAGATGAGCTTCAAAAACAGTTGCAAAGTTTAATTACAAAAAATTTTATAAAGCCAAGCCAAAGTCCATATAGCGCGCCTATATGCTTTGTAAAGAAGAAAGATGGCTCTCTCAGAATGTGCGTTGATTATAGAGCCTTAAACGCTCAGACTATCAAGGATAAATTTCCCCTTCCACATATCGAGGATTTGCTAGATGAAGTAGGATCACTGAAATATTTTACTAAAATAGACCTAGCTCAGGGCTATTACCAAATCCCAGTAGAAGCGGATGATAGACACAAGACAGCGTTTGTTACAAATAGAGGATTCTTTGAATGGAATGTGATGCCATTTGGATTATGTAATGCGCCGGCTACATTTCAAAGAATGATGAATGCCATCCTTCAACCTATGTTAGGCAAGAGTACAATCGTGTATTTGGATGACATACTAATTCATAGTAGGAACGAAAAACAACACTGGAACGACGTGCGAGAAGTTTTCGGGCTCCTACAGGAGAACAATTTAGTGGTGAAAGAAGAGAAATGTGAATTCTTGATGACAGAGGTCGAATTTTTAGGACATGTTATTGCAGAAGGAGGTACGAAGCCAGCGACAGAAAAGATTACGGCTATTAATGAGTGGCCGACCCCCAAAGTATACAAAGATACGCAGAGATTTTTGGGATTAACCAATTTTTATCGCAAATATGTTAGAGACTATCTGAAGATAGTCCAGGCCCTTCAGAGACATGCGAACCAAAAGGAAGGTTGGGGAGACGAGCAAGATCAAGCGTGGGTCCGACTTAAAAGAAGACTTACAGAGGCTCCTATGCTAATATCCCCGAAACGTGAAGATCTTTATGTAGTCACAACTGATGCTTCGGATGAAGCTATGGGTGCTACAATCGAACAGCGAGATCATAATAATGGAAAGTTTAAAGGTATTGTGGCGTATTTCAGTAAATCTTTCCAGCCAGAACAGAAGAAATACCCAACAAGAGAAAAGGAATTCTTAACGATTATAGAAGTTTTGAAGAAATACAAGCACCTCTTAAAAGGTGAAACCTTTAAGATACGAACTGATCATCATTCGTTAAAGTTTCTCTTAGATCAGAAGAATATTCCTAGTGGAAGAATTACAAGATGGTTAGATTTCCTTGCCGATTACGATTTCGACATTGAATATCTACCGGGTGCAAAAAATCAAGCTGCAGACGCGTTGAGTCGCATACCGGAAAACAGAAAGATAAATTCAATAACGACAGTGGAAACTCCCTTACAGACCGAAGAGTTCCTAGAAAAGGTAAGGAAGGGATATGAAAACGACAAGAAGTTCAAAGAGGTCAAAGAAATCTTACAAGTTGCGTTACCTGGCCAACCTATGGCTCATTATATAAAGCACTTTAGACTAGATGATGGTTTAATATATTACGCACCTGCGTATGAGAGAGATGGTAACCCAAATAGATTATGCATACCCGAAAACCTAAGAAAAGAAGTCTTAGAAAGATGTCACTCCAATGCAATGGCGGGACATTTTGGGAAGTATATTACCACAGGTAATGTCAGTATATCTTACTACTGGCCCAAGATATACAAAGATGTAAGTAGACTCGTGGAAAAATGTTATACGTGCCAGACTACGAAACACTCCACACAACGGAAGCCAGGACTATTACGACCATTAGAGGTTCCCCAAGGAAGATGGTCCTCAATTCTGATAGATTTCTTAACAGGATTACCAACGACGGTTAAAAGAAATGATGCAATCTTGGTTGTCATCGATCGTCTAACCAAAAGAGGCCACTTCATACCTTGTAAGAAGAAGATGAGTGCGAAGGAAGTAGTCGAGATTATGTTAGAGAACGTATTCAAGTATCATGGTATACCTGATCTGATTGTATCGGATCGAGATTTCAAATTTACAAATAAAGTTTGGTTAGAAATTACAAACTCATTGGGAATCAAGTTAAAGATGGCTACGGCGGTCCATCCTCAAACAGATGGACAAACAGAACGACTAAATGCTACTGTCAATCGCATGTTGCGATCCTTAGGACAGGAAGAGTTGGGAAATTGGGATAACAAATTGGCGATGATGGAATTCGCTTATAACAATAGTACCCAAAAGTCGATAAAAACCACACCTTTCTACGCAGACCTAGGAAGACATCCTAAAGGAATGCACAGTGTGTTTGCAAACGGCTCTTTAACTCATAGTGAAGACTGGATCAGAACTCAGAAAGCTATATGCCTTAGAACACAGGATTACATTGTGGATGCTCAAAAAGAAAATGAGATTCAGGCAAATAGACACAGAAGGATAGAAAGCTTCGAGATTGGAAGTTTTATCCTCATACATCGAAAAGCGTATTTTGAAACAGCTAAGCAAGCGAAATTATCACCCGTTTACTTCGGACCTTTTCGAGTAGTAAAACGAATCAACGAGAACGCGTATGAAATAGATCTCCCAAGCACAACAAAGAAGCACAGGGTAATAAATATAGAATATTTAAAACGATTCAACAGCGGTGATGAGCGATACCCTAAAACTCCACCACGCACGCTAGCGGAATTTAAAGCAAGAGCAGAAGAAGTAATTGGAGTCTGTGGAAAATTGGAAAGAACGAAGGAGATTGTATTAGCTTTCAAGGATTGCCCACCAGGACTTGCAGGTATATATCCAGCAGATTACTTAAGACACATCCACCCAGACAGAAGATCAATCATCATGGAACGGTTCCATGAGACCGTAGAGAATCGGGGCGATTCTAATTGAAATGGGGGAGAG